TTTAACCCACTGAGCCACCCAGGCCCCCTCTACCCATGTCTTGATATGAGCATAGGCTTCTCCTTAGCCAGGGCTCACCACAACCTCCCTGACCAGTCAGGATCATAAAAGTAAATTACACACAACATTGCAGGCGTCGGATATCACGGAGGCCACTTTGCAATAAGGATCTGTTTGGCACACTCACGTGGGAGGTTGAGGGAAGAAGACGTGTGTGTCTGTGTGTGTATCTGCTGTGACTTAAAGTTCTCAAAAGGACCTTTATGAGAAGTAATTGAAGGCCTTTAAGAGGATAAGACACTACGATATTGAAAGTACCTTTATGACATAATATAGATGATCACCCAAGAGGGTTTTCCCAGAACTGCACTGCATCATGTGGAGAAGGGGAAGTGCATGTCAGAGATGGCCGGGGAGAGTTTGTGTCAGCTAGAGCCACCCAGCAACAGGATGGGCTGCTTCGGAGGCTCACCTGCTCCCCAGGGGGGTCACCTGTGGAGGGCGGCCAGCAGGGAGGGAAGCGGGGCGAGGTCTCGGTACTACAGGGAACAGAGAAGGAAACTATTCTGGCTCTGAGATCTTGTCATTTTACACAAAGTAAATGCCATCGAAGCTATAAATGCGAGTCATTTATTTTAATAGATTTTAGTGTACTTCGGAAACTATTACCTATGAAAGATGCCAAGCAGAAACATACCTTCAGTAGAAAAAAAGTTATTTCATCTATTGGAAGAACATACACTGGGAAGTTAGTTAAGGACTCTCGAGTGTCATCGGAATCTATAAAGAGATTTGCTATTTTGGAAAATACTGTAGAAGCATCTAGAAATTCCTAACAATATTATAGCAGTATTTAAATGTAGTTAAAGAGAAGAAATGGGAAAAGCATTTTTCTAATAAGACTGTTAAATTGCCAGAGTTCACAACATGAATTATTTTTCTGATAAAAATGGGGAACTATGAAATGTAACAAAGGTAAGAGCTGAGGCCAGTCACAAAGCAAGCAGGAAGTTAATATCAGGGTCTCAGAATACTGCGGCAAACGGAGTTATCTACAAAGGCTTGAGCATTGGGCTTGTTCCTGCATTTCCCTTGGGTGCTTGCATGCCATTTTTTGCACTTACGTACTTTACGTTCACTGTTAGAGCCTGAAAATAGCTGCTCAATTAATGTCCAGATAACTATGAATTTCAGTGTTATACTGTGAAAAATTATATTGGAGTTTTTGTTTTTGCTTTGGTTTTCTTGAGCATGAAGTAGAGTAGGCTTTGGAACACTGAACTGTCTGGGTCCTTTCCTTTCTGTTGTCTTAGGTTTTCATGGGTCAGGCCCTTTTATATTTAAAGGGGGTAAAGGAAGACAGCGTGCAAAGTGGTACCTTGGGGGTTCTGTGAGTGTTTAAAGAGAAGGAACTTGCTTTTCAAAAGGAAGGGAAGCAGAACATCTATACCATGGCTCATTGTCAGCCACGAGACAGCTCAAATCTTATCATGATTCTTAAATTTAGTATCATTTACATAGGAAATAAAATGCAAAGACGATCACTCGGAAGTGGGCTTATATAGCATGAAAGAGAATTAGTTTGCACAAAGGCGGACTTCGGAGTGCAGAGATTGGCTGTGTGTTGGGCTTGCTGTTTGTTAGGATCCTGAAAGCTAATGTGGTCGCGTCAGGTCTTTAAGCCTGCTAGAATTTCTTCTGTAGATTTGTAAACACCCACGTTCATAAAACTGGTAAAGAAGCATTTTGGGTGGCTAACATCCAGGTCTGGACTTGCTGCTCTCAGCTCTTCCCTCATTAGACTTCTCTCCCTACCCCGGGAGAAGGTATCATTCCGGGTGAAAATTTCATTTCTTGAAGGGGGCAGGGTCCTGAGAACCCGGCTTGAGACGTTTTGACAGCCGACCATTCTGGCACAAACTACTCCAATGATGGAAGAAAACCCTCCTCTCCCGCACCCCCTTCCCTCTTTGATCTGTACCTCTCCTGCAGTGTCGCCTCCAAAGCAATTCTCCAGAGCTTCTGTGTTTCTCTCTAATTGCCATTAGAGAGAGCCGAGAATCCTTCTCCTTCGCTCTTCTGCAGGGTTCCTAACTATTCTCTTTGACTAAAGTTACTCACTAAAAATGAAAGGGGCTCCGAGGATCAAAGGCTGTGTGTTTTCAGAATGGTGCTGGCACTTTTGTGGGGGTCCTTTAACAGTGTGAACAGTGAGGGGCAGGAGGAGAGACGACTGCATGTTTCAGCATTTTCTTGGGGTGGACTTCTCCCAACTCCAAGGGAGCCTCACCGTGTGGCATTTTATTAAGCCTGTGGCCTTCACGAAAGGCCGCATCTTGCATTCTGCCAAATGCCACCCTGCAGTATAGCGTGAGGAAACCCATACCGACCTCACAGGCTCCCACCTTCCACTTTCCCCCATTTATGAAATGCATGGCAATTGCAAGGAAACATCCAGGTTTAATCTGCCTTCTCAGCTTCATTATCTGGTCCTAGAAGTGCATACAGTGGTGCATACTTAGTGGAAGTGATTAGCAGGCTCCTACTTCAACATCAACACAAGCTTCCTTAGAAGGCGGGTCATGGTGGAAGGGACTCAGTCTGGGCTGGGCACTGTTCTGGGTGCTTGGCTGACAGGATCCCATTCAGTCCTCCTAATAACCTTAGGTGTGCAGTTTCATTTGTATCTCCATTTACGGAGGAAGACTAAAGCCCAGCGTAGGTGAGTAGATTGCCCAAGGCCAGGGTCAGAATTAGAACGGGAACCACGCAGCCTGATTCTAGAGTTCAGTGGCTTACTACTGCGCCAGCGTCACACCGAAGAAGTGATCTGGAAGAAATGTGGAGCACTTCTTCTTCAACGGCTTTTAGCTCAGCAATTAGATGGTTGAATCACCAGAAAACTGAGCCCCAGGCTTTAATGCTGGGTCCCCATGATTATGAAAGAAAGATGGAAGACAACACTTGTCTTTGGAGTGCAATAGACTAGTTTTGATCTAAATTCTGGTTTTGCTAGTTACGTGTTTTAGACCTGTTAGTAATTTCTCAAGTCCTCAGTTGCTTAATCTTTGAAGTGGGCACATGACCACAGCATCTACTCGGTAGGGTGCTGTTGACAGGAACTTTGGTAATGCGTTCAGAGTGCCGACCACAATACATGATCATTCATCTTTTGTGGAAATAGAATCGTGACAAAATGAACCAGCTGGGGCTGGGGGGAATCTATTAAAGTGAAATTGTTGAGTAGAAGATACTCAGACGCTGAATTTTCAACAAGGCAAGTCAGTGGTCTGGATTCCACCAATAGATGAGGTTTTCTGCAAGTGTCCTTAGCTGGTGAGGGAGATAGTGTTGTAATGCAGTGTGTCAGGTGCTAACTACTCCACAGGGAAAAGTCAAGTTGTCCCCAAATCTGAATTACAGCAGGGTCCCAGCATGTCACATCTCTCCGCTCTACTGATTCTGCTTCAGAATGCATACACTGTGGGGCTAGGATTTACTAATCTCCTCGAGGTCTTTAGAAATGCAAAATCAGTGTAGCCATGGGGAGGGACTTAGGAAAAATGGGGAAGATGGTAATGCTATAAAGCTGTGGGGATTCTCGGGGTGCCTGGGTGGCTCAGTGGGTTGAGCCTCTGCCTTCTGCTCAGGTCATGATCCCAGGATCCTGGGATGGAGCCCTGCATCAGGCTCTCTGCTCAGCAGGGAGCCTGCTTCCCCCACCCCTGCCCACTGCCTGCCTCTCTGCCCACTTGTGATCTCTCTCTGTGTCAAATAAATAAAATCTTTTAAAAAAATGTGGGGATTCACCTGGCCAGCCAAGGGTCAACTGCACCCACAGAGTCTGATGCTGGGAGTGGGGGTTGGGGGAGCGAGGTGGTAGCAGGAGGTCCCCCTGGGTTGTGACATGAACTTCCTCTTGCCAATGCCAGAACTTCTCTTCAAGTGAAATTATCCAATTTCTACCTCCAGATGGAAAGTTCTCCTTGATTCTCTCTTTTGCCACAGGAGCCAGAATCATGCTAACTCAGCCACTCTCTCTCTCTCATTCTCTCACTCTCACTCTTAAAGCTGTCCTTAGAAAATGAGGGGGGTGGGTATCCCCACATGAGGAAACTCATCTTTTATGTAAAGCGTCCTGTGTGGCACATTGAGGGTTAAATTTTTGTTGCAGAGAAAGAGTATCAAGTGGCTTTCCAGGAAGATATAAGCCCCAGTTTAGAAACTGCCATTTCTGAAAGGTAAGACCAATGTACATTAGTTTGCACTGCTTTCTAAGAAAGGAATAACTTGCCGCTCCCTGTGGCCGGGGGTTGGTTCGCTTCTGTCAGTCTGCCTGTCCATCATGGATACAATGTATACATCAGGGCGAGGACCTTCTGTCACAGTTAATAAAAATCCCGGGAACACGACAGAGCTCCCTTTTACTATAGATCCGTTTTACAACAGCTCCATTTCTTCGGTCACATAAATCAAAAGGGGAGTCTTTATCTTATCATTTGGAGGCATTCCTTCTCCCTCTGTGTCCTAGCCCCTCCCCTTGTGCCAGTTTCCAGCCCCTCAAAGATGCTTTGTGCAAGAAAGTGCAAGTCGCTCATTCTGGCTTTATTGATTTTCCCTCTTGCTCTCCTCCTGGCTCCCCCCCAAAGCAAGCGAGAGCAGAGCAAATGGCCCGGGTTCTCCCCCAGTGCCTGACTTGCGTTCACTGGGAGGAGAGCCGGAGAGGGAGCGCGCATTCGGAGCGGGCTGCTCTCACTGCGACCACAGGCTGGTTCGTGCAGGCTGTCCTTTTCCTTCAAAACCGTGCATCCCCTCCCCGAAGCAGCAGGCAGTGTGCCTCCATTCAGCCACATTTGGTATGCATGAGCACGGCTGCAGGGAGAGGGGAGGTGGCTTTCTTAAGAAGGTTCCGTGGCTCAGGCAACGCCACTTGACTAGTCTCCCAAGTTCCAGCAAGCCTCTGCCCTGATGGAATTTGCAGGTGTGGAGATGACCATGGGATGCCAAGGCCGTGGGGGACCGTTTGTTTTCTAGGCATTGCTCAGGGTTGCAGTTTTTGGTTCTCCCGGTGGAATTTGGAAGGGGTCATGAATCAGACTGATGCTCCTCGTCCCCTAAACTGGACCATCCGGAAGCTGTGCCACGCAGCCTTTCTCCCATCTGTCAGACTTCTGAAGGTACTGTAACTTGCTGCTTTGAATGGCTCTAATTGTGCTTTTCAGGTCTAAATACCCAACTTCGCACTTGGGCTGGGACACACCTTTTGGGGAGCACAAACGCTTATGGTATTGGCTCCATTGCCTAAGGCTGGAGAGAGGCTCTCAGCCGTCCATCACCCGCCCCCACCCCATGGTGTCAGGGAGGAGAGATGGTCTGAGCCACATTTGAGAATGAGAGTATGATGGCAGAGAATGGGCTGCCTGAGTGCTCTCCCCCTTCAGCCCCCCACCCTAAACATCCCTGAAATAGAATTAATTAACTTCTTTGGGAGGGTGGGAACCATAGTGGGAGTGAAATCTCTTCCTCCTGGGTGTTTGGCTCTTCCTTGTGGTTTTTTTTCCACCCCGCTCCCTGGGGAAGCCCTTCGACCCACTTTCCCTTTAAATGGAACCTGAGAGAACAAAGGATTCTCCTCACTATTTTAAAAGCCCCGTGTCCTTAGGTGGTCGCTCAGGTAAAGACAAAGAATGAATCTCATCGGTTGGTGACTTCTTAGGTGTCCTTGTTTTTAGAAAGGTGTGATAATTTTCGTCTCCTACGTGAAGCCCGTAGTGGGAAAGTGTTGTTAAATATATGTTGAATGTAATCCTTGAGCTCCTGCTCTGAGTTACACAAAAGAATGGGACTACACCTGGGCTCAGAATTGTCACCTTCTGTTTGCAGCACTCCTCTCTCTGGAGGTCAGTATGTTAAAGATCCGGAAAAGTCCCCACAACTGCATAATAATTCATCTTCATCATCTGCCATATAGGGAAGAAAAATCACATGAAATTTAAAAGGTGCAGAAAACAAGTATTTTTCCCTAGAAGAGAGAATGCACTAACACTTATTTGGGAAAAGTATGTATCTCTGGAAGTCCCACATCCACGTGAAGTTAAAAAGGCAAAGTTCCTTATTCTCTTTTCCATATTAATATGATACCATGATTTAATGACCGCTGGATATTGAGCCTAATTGACCACAACAGAGGATTAAGGAATTAGTCCTAAATAAATGACACTTGCAACATTTTTTTTCTTTTTTCTTTTTTTTTCTTTCTTTCTTTTTTCTTTGTTAAGGCTGTGGTTTGGTTGGGTCAAGTTAGATATGGACAGTTAGTTCTGTGCAGCTAAGTGGCTCACAAGAGAGCATTACCAACTGTCTGAGTTTTCTTTATCCTGTTCAGCAAAATCCCCATGTTAACTTTGACAAAGGCTGCCCCATGTCCTGTTCAAACCCCCATCATAATGTTGTCATGGCGATGGTTTGCTTCCCTAAGAGAGTATTGAAGAGGAAAAGCCAATTTGGGAATAAGGAGTGGGAGAGAAGCATCCTTGGATGTAAGTGTTTTTGCTGTATAGGAACAACATGTGTGATAGGGCATGAGAGAGAATGAGGCCAGGGAAGGAAACAAATGAATGTAATTTTTCCTCCAGAATCACTATTGAATCAAGGGTCTGGGGCAAAGGATGTCTTGGCAAATCCAACAAGGACTGAGAAAATTGACACTAGCAGTCCCATGTACAATGAGAAACATTTTTCACTTGAAGTCATTAATTGGCCCTACCCTCCCCAAATAATGCTTTTGAACTTACAAAATGACCTTCTTAACAGGCATGTGCAAAATAGCACTCTCAATATATTATTCATTAATACTCTAGTTTTTTTTTTAATGGAAAACTTTATTCGTCATTTCATAGTCACAAAACCAGCAGAGAAGTATGTATTTGAGGTAGATTACTTATTTTGAGAATAGCTGTTGTCTTTTTTAGTGGAAACCACTGTTGATATTCTCTACCAGCAGGCATTGTCAATGTTACACCAATACTGTGATTGGTGTACAGTTGGCTCCTACCATGCTTTTTTAACATGGTACTTTATAACAATTCATCTAATAAAGTGTACTGATGAGTGTCCTTTCGAGTCTCTCAATACATGAAAGACAGGATGTGTGTTACTAGAGAAGTTCCTTTCCAAATGACATCTGTATTTTTGAAAGATCGTACCTATCCTAGGAAACTTCAGATAGTGAACATGTTTCAAACTCTTTAAAAAAAGAAAGTGACACCAGATCTTCCAGCAATACTTAAAAAGAAAGGAAAGCTACTTTGGTTTATTCAGTTTTATATCACCAACGTTCTGGATATGGATTTCGTATAATTTTGTCCCCCTTTGGATTGCTGCTGTCTTACCTGCTTTGCTAGTCCCTATGTATTCTTGCTCTGCTTTTGTATTTCCATTTATATATAAATTAGAAGTTCCTGAGTAATCCTTTGCATCTTTTGGTCTGTGTTCTTCCTGGTTTAGTTTATAAATTAAATATTTAGTAACTGTGATTCTTCACAGTTCTTCCTCCCTTCCCAGTCTCCTATTCTCCCTCCCCCACACCATTGCCACCATGGTAATTTAGTGGATGCGTTCTCTGGGCATCCCAGAGTCTATGAAATCATAAGCTAACAAACCCAATTCTCCTATTCAACAGGTAATTTTTGGTCCCCTTCCAAGCATTTTTCTGATGTAATATGCTTTTTTCTAGTGCTCTGACTTGTCAGTAACACAGCAGAGGATGTGACGGTATGGTCAGATTTAGCTAACCTTGGATCACTCCCCGTTTCTCACAGACTGGGCTCAAGCCACCTTCCCTCCCCGCCCTCTCCCTGAGAATGTACATGTTCCTTTGCTAACTTACTTCAGTATTTAGAAATGGCTTTATAATCCTATTTTCTCTATTTCCTAATAGAAACAAAGGATACAAAGGAATTAGAAGGGGAAGGCTGGCATCTGAAGCATGAATTAAACTCAGTGAATGAATGTTGGAATATACTTATTATTCCTTCTGAAAACATCTCATTTGTTGCTTTGTCCATCTCAGAGCAAATTTTGAACCTGCCAACCAACTCACATTTTGAATTTGAGATTGCACTTGGAAATAACATTTGAAAATGAATTTTTGGACAGGCTCGTGGTGATGATAGCCAAAAGACAGAGGCTGTTTTCAAACGGATACATTTCAAATGGGACCCTGTCCAGACTATTTCTCTTCAGTCGTCCTTTGCTTCATTCTTGTGTTTTAAGATATCATCTTGCTAATCACAAGAAGTCAAGTTAATTTCAGTGACAGAATGTTCTTAGCATATTTCATATTCATTATTAGGTCTGCCTCTGCTTTTGTTTTATTTGGGAGATTTTTATTTTGGTGACTTAACGATGAATTTGAAGATTAATTTTAGGGCAGAGAGCTTTGTTTGTATTGATGTCTCAGTGGACTTATTGAAGAGAAGGCTTCTGAAAATGGATTGCACTGAGGGAAAGGGAAGCTCTATACTTGGAACAGATTTTAGATACAAACATTTAAGTCAGTTTGTCCATCAAGACCAAGACCAAGACCTATCATTTTAGGATATTCAGAGTTTTATACTGAGAAGGAATCTGCTTTCGTACTTAGAGCAATGTCAAAATAGATTAAAGAAATTATATTCTGGAGGGTTAGACCTAAACACTGGATTCTAAATGTGTTTTGTTCCTAACCACCTGTGTGACCTTGGGTAACTTACTTAACCTCTCTGTAACTTGGTGCCCTCTTCTTTAAAATGAAAGATTAGGTCTTGACTTGGATCCAGTGCTAAAATTCCACGTGGTAAAGGCTACCATCTTCTGTGGGTATGAAAGGACATACTCTCTCAGTTCGACTGGATTGGATATTCAAATAGAAGAGGACTAGAACATTCAGCAGCTTTTAAAATCATAGAGGGCCTTAGCTGCTAAGCTAATATGTTTGACAATTATCCTGAAAACTATGGAGTACCATCAAAGGGACGTTAGCAGACTTCCAGATTGAGGCATTAAATACATTGTTCCAGCTATACTGTCGGGAATGGGTAGAAGATGGTAGGATCAAAAGCTTAGAGGTCAAATTGGAGACCCAGACAATTGATGAGGATGTGGGCTAAGGCAGTAGGAATGGAGGTATCATAAACAGGGCTTAACACTTGATTCATTGTGGCGAAGGGAGGAATTGAGGCTAAGTTCTGAGTTTTGATCTTTGTGCCTCGTTGGTTAGAGGTCCCCTGTCTGAGAAGAAAAGTCTTGAGAAGGAAGGACAGACCTTCTCATTTTGTGGTTCCTCTTTGTTGAGTTAAAAAGGGGATGTCAGTTCTTCTAGTGGGATTGAGAAAAGAAATAACCCCATGTCATTGAGGAGTAGGAGCCCCAGTCACTACTTGATCACAGAACTCTTTAGAGTGAATAATATATAATCAGGAATATCTCTTCTAATGTATTTTTTAGATTGTATGCATCGTAAACTGCTAATTTTTTGGAATCCAGTCAAAAAGCTCACCTTTCTCTCTCTTCTCCTTTCTTTCATAGTATTAGCCAAAGGATTAATGAAAGTGAACTGGGTCACAAAAAGGAATTAATTGAGAGTACTGATCAAGGTAGGCTACCAGATGAACATACATTCGGCTCGATTACTGAGGTTTTCTACATCTATAATTCCTTGTAATAGTAACCAGTGTCCATCACGCTGTCCCTGAAGCATAGTGAGATCCTTACAATGAGATGAATTGAGTCTGTCTTCTGTCGTTGATGCCAGGCATTCTGGAAATTGACTTCCCTTTGATGGTCTCCAGCTCGTAGGAAACAATTACATTCAGATTTCTTTTTTTTTTTTTTCTAATTTTTTAAAAATTTCTTTTTTAAGATTTTATTTATTTATTTATTTATTTGACAGGCAGAGATCACAAGCAGGCAGAGAGGGAGGCAGAGAGAGAGAGAGGAGGAAGCAGGCTCCCTACTGAGCAGAGAGCCCGATGCGGGGCTCGATCCCAGAACCCTGAGATCATGACCTGAGCCGAAGGCAGAGGCTTCAACCCACTGAGCCACTCAGGCACCCCTAGATTGAGATTCGTTTCAACGTGTGTTTTAAATTTTACCCTTCCAAGGTCTCCTTTTCACATCTAAAATCCTGAATTTTTAC